CCCCCCCCCCCGGCCTAGCCCCTCTGCAAGGAGGTAAGCACTGTAATATAAACTAGGTGCTACTTAATTCACAAAAATTATGGAGGAATGTCTTGAGTCCAAAAAGGTTGAGAACCATTGTATATCACCATTTCCTGTGGGTATGTTAGACAAATAAAAACAGGAAAAATGGGTTGTACAAACCCTCTGCAAGGAGGTAAGCACTGTAATATAAACTAGGTGCTACTTAATTCACAAAAATTATGGAGGAATGTCTTGAGTCCAAAAAGGTTGAGAACCATTGTATATCACCATTTCCTGTGGGTATGTTAGACAAATAAAAACAGGAAAAATGGGTTGTACAAACTGCACATCAGATGTATTTTATGGCTTTCATCCGCATCATTTTCTAAATTCTTGTGTAAGTGTCTTAATGGATTTACCCGCTAGTCCAGAGGGAACCAAAAATAATCTGTGTCCATCAGTAAATAATCTGATAGAACCATATCAGCTCTAATACATAAAATATATTTCACTGTACATATTTATTACATTAAATCTGCCATTATTTACAGCTGAAATGCTAATGCAACAAGTCTTGCTGATAATTTGCAGATGTTATCTTAATAATTGATAAATTCCTTGTAACTGTTTTTTGGTAACACCATCTGTACTGATGTGGTGAGTTTAAAAACTGAAATTCTAAACATGAATGACAGCTTAAATATTCCACAAGTCACTTTAAATTCTAACTTTGGTGTTTTTCATCACGTAGCAAAGCTCTAATGGTCCTGTGAAGAAGTCTATGCGTGAGAAAGCTGTTGAGCGGAGGAACATTAATAAAGAACACAATAGTAACTTTAAAGCTGGATATATTCCAATTGATGAAGACCGTCTCCATAAAACAGGCTTACGAGGCAGGAAAGGCAATTTGGCCATTTGTGTGATTGTCCTCCTTTTTATTTTGGCTGTCATCAATTTGATTGTGAGTACATTACTTAGACTGCAGGTGACATTTGGCTATGTTTGTTTTGTATTTGAGCCTTTGCTAAATAGATAAACTTATTGCAGTATATATCAGAATAATATTGAGAGCACAAACTTGTAATGTAAAGATTTTTTTATTATTTTTCCACTCCTCTTCTGTGTATTAGCAGTATGAACAAAACTTTCACAGGTTTGGGGTTTTTTATTTGGAACAGCTCCCAAATTATTGTGTTTTTTTGGGGGGTCTTAGCTAAAGAAATAACCAGCTATATTCTCCTTTTACTGCATTTCTTGCTAAAGTCCTCTATTATTACTGATATTAAAGTGACATAAATTTGCAAGTGGTTTTACAGGAATTAAGATGCTGTTCCTGACTCAAACAGCTTAAAATCTAAGGGTGCCTTATAATGCTCTGACGCGTTGTAATTACAGTGCATTGGAGCAGACTCAATCAAGTGTGCTGGAACGTGGTAGTTACCGTACTCCAGCATCTTGTGCATCAGTGTCCCCAGGCTTAAAAATGGCGGCAGGGGTGCTTTAACTAAAGCGCCCTTGCCGCTGTTTTTAAGCACGGGGATGCTGATACACGAGACAGTCCAGGCGTTTTAAACAGAGATGCTCCTGGAGCCACTTTAATTAAAGTGTCCCCTTCCCTCCCCACCCCACTCCTGGAGCACATGTAAATGCCCTAAATCTGAACATTCTCTTATCCAAGGGACTACATGGATCATTATTACCTTCCTGTCTGAAAATCTAAATATTCACTGGGCAAAAAGCAGGAATCTTAAATTAATTTCCTTTCCCAGAGCTCAATAATGGCAAAGCAGTATCAGTGCAATGCACATTCAGAGTGAGTATACTGAAATGGAGTGAATCACCTCAGCCAACCATGGAACTTTAGTTTTTGAAATACATCTATGACTATTTGTAAACCTGACACTTTGATTTGCTACTTGCCAGCTCACTACTAGAATGCCTGCCTTTGCTTTTCATTTTTCTCTAAATAATAAAATTATTTCTTCTCATAATTAAACATTTCAGTATACCAACAACTTTTGAGGGTTTTTCTTGACTAACTGTTTCCTGCATTAACACCTTTCCTTTGAATTTTAGTTCAGAGTGCAGCTATTACCTCAGACAGCAAGATGACTTGATTTTTTAACTTAAATAGTGTACAGTGATTTAATACATATAGAAAATAGATTTTTTTATTTCAGAGGAGTTTTTATTTCAAAATTCGTATTTAAAATAAGAGCTGCTACTTACTGTACTCTGGTGTTACCAGTAGGAACTATTAACACAGTAAGGCAAAGGACGGGGGGGGGTTGTTTTGTTTTTTAATAGAAACCATTCCTTTTACATTTGCATAGTAAAAATGATTCATTGCTAGAAATGTTTAAGTGTAACATTTAATTAAATTTTGTCTTTTGAACACGCTTGTTTTCCTACGGTGTCCATAGATACAAAATGACCCTTTTTTACTCTTTTAGATCACACTTGTTATCTGGGCTGTGATTCGGATTGGGCCCAATGGTTGCGATAGCATGGAGTTTCATGAGAGTGGCTTACTGAGATTTAAACAGATATCTGACATGGGAGTCATACATCCATTATATAAGAGTACTGTAGGAGGCAGGCGTAATGAAGATTTGGTGATCACTGGGAATAACCAGCCTGTAAGTCAGATCATGAGTTGAAAGTATATGGGCAATCACATGGGGGAATTGCAGTGTTGGTAGTAATTGTAAATATGACAGAAACATTTAAGATTATCATGATTTGTTTCTAAAGATTGTATTTCAGCAAGGAACAACAAAACTCAGTGTTGAAAAGGACAAAACTTCCATTACCAGTGATATTGGTATGGAATTTGTTGACCCGCGAACACAGAATACTTTGTTCAGCACGGACTACGAGACTCATGAGTTTCATCTGCCAAATGGAGTAAAAATTTTGAATGTACAAAAAGCATCTACAGAGAGGGTATGCTTATTTTAATATACTCATCTCGTTTTCCCTTACCTAAGAGTTCACAATCAAACAGTCCTGTATCTAATGAGAAATATATTTTTGTTGAAATGTAGCCTTTCAAGCATATGCAGGATTTTAACCATAAAATGATTCTGTCATGAATATCATATTGCCCTGAAAAAACAGTCCTGAAAAATGATAAGTAAATGGGGTGTTTTACGGGGGTGTAGGTTGTAGCCATGTTGGTCTAAGGACATAGGCAGACAAGGTTCCTTGGGTGAATTTGATATCTTTTATTAGACCAACCCAAATAGTTGGAGAATAGTTATTAAGCAAGCTTTCGAGTTCAAAAACCCTTCGTCAGGCTAAGGAAGTTTCAGCAGTTGGTGTGTGCTCTTCCTGGATGGAATGAAAAGTAAAGAAGCCAGGGGCTGGGCTGGGGAGTCAGTTGCCAGGCAGATTATAATGTATCAAAAATCCAATGTCTATGTTTAGTCCATGATCTCTAGTATCCAGGAGGTTGATGAAATGGAGCTTGCAGGCTCGTCTCTGGGAAGTGTTGTGTAAGTTTCCCTTGAGGATCAGGACTGAGAGATTGGAGAGAGAGTGGCCCTCCTGTGAGAAATGTGCCCCCACCGGTAATTGGGTATTTGTCTTTGATGGATTTTAAAACACTTTGGGGTGTTTTACCACACTTTGGTAAATAACAGAATAATTTAGAACAACGATAATATTTTAACTAGCCATTATAATATAACTATATGGAAAGGAATGCCCACATTCCTATTTGATATTACGTACTTCATGCACAGGTAGTAGTTCCAGTTAGCTGTATGATTACTACCATTGAAAAATCTTTGGTCACCTCCTCATCTTTTTAAGAATTTACAAAGCTAATCACCAAAATTGTACCTATTATTTTCTTTTTCTTGATTATATTTTTGTTATAATCAAATGTGTGTAAGTCGCATGTCTTTTGTGTAGCACATAACAGTTTTTTAAGTTCAATTAAATTGAAAATGAAAACCTCAACATGAAGTTCTGTATTTGTCAATTTATTACCTCCAAATCAAATACATTCTATTTCCAAGTAAAAAGTTTTCCAGCTGCAAGTCCTACAGACTCAATCAGGGAACTTACAGCCAAACTGATGTTTTTCTTGTATGTCATTATGTATAATAAAGGCTCTGCAGCCTTTTCTGCTAAAAAGTGCAAAAGTTATTTTTATCCCTACAGTAAACAGATGTGACTCAATGCATACAAGGAGTAGATCAAGCCAGTACAGAGGAAGCAGTTTTCCATAGTCACTTTTCATAGCAAAAAAAAATTTAGATTAAATTTAGAACCCAAATGAATTGTGTATCCTTCTAAATGTTCTCAGATTAAATATAACGAGGATATCAATAATCAAACTTGATCAGCAATCGCCAAGTATAATCCATCTGACAGGCTAGAATGTTAAGCTTTTTAGTCAAAACAGACCTTTAAAAAAAAAACAAGCACTTTGTTTCTAAATAAAACTAAATGAGAAGCCTTTCGAGATTTAAGGATAATGCATTAATACTTTTTATGAAAATTTTTAGCGGTTTTGATATCTGTTAGTTAAACAATTTAACAAAACTATGTAGACTCACATAAATGAAACTTTTCATACTGTACCCACCTTTACTTTTTTTCCACTCTCTCAGATTACCAGCAATGCTACCAGTGATCTAAATATAAAGGTTGATGGACGTGCCATCGTACGTGGAAATGAAGGAGTTTTCATTATGGGCAAAATGATTGAGTTTCGGATGGGAGGCGATATGGAATTAAAAGCAGTAAGTATTTTATGTTGGCAGTTGTTTATAATATCTTGTTTTCAAACTGAAGATGATAAATTAATTATTGCATTTCTTGTAGGGATCAATCTGCAGAAACGTTGTATGAAAATAGTTTAATAGTTCAACTCAAGTTTGCTATTTGGAAATACTACAAAAGCAACTATATCAGTCCAATTTTTAAAAGGCTTTCAAAAGCTTTGAGCTAACTTGTACTAAATAATTTTTTGAGGTTGTGTTAGCACTGTGGATTGCTTGGAGTGGGGAACAGGTAGAGGGGTAAACAGCATGGAAATAAACATTTTTCTTTCATGTCTGGAAGCATGAAATCAAGTCTTATTTATTGTTTCAAAGGAAAACTTGATATTTGTTTTTAATCCTCAGTAAATATTCTTTAACACTACAGATATGACTGCTACGCAATTAGCAGTTTTTGCTCAATATTGACCTCCAAGTGGAAGAGTAAAATGCACTGCAGGTCTGAACTGAGGTGTATGATGACATCATTGGTAAAATTAGTGAAGTTATAGCTCACAGACTAAATAAAAATGTTATTTTGTTTACATTTTTAAGGTAGTTTTGAAAAGAGTTATTGGTTAAATTTATTCTTCAGAAAAGGAATACTCTACCTCTGTTTGAACATTTGTATAATTATTCTTTTACTAGGAAAACAGCATCATTCTGAATGGAACTGTTATGGTCAGCACATCTCGACTGCCAAGTTCTTCTTTTGGGGAACAGTTTAACAATGGCGACTGGGTGCGCTACAAGCTGTGCATGTGTGCAGATGGTACTCTGTTTAGAGTTCAAGTGATGAGCCACAATATGGGTTGTCAAACTGCAGTCAACCCTTGTGGAGCCACGCACTGAACGTAAAAGCACTTGGAGGAGAGAGTTTGCTTGGAGAGTTCATTTACATGTTTACATTTGTCTATATAAAACAATTGCATGCAAGGATTTGTTGTTTTGCAGTTTATAACTTTAAATTTGTTTTGTAGCATTTTTAACACAGGGCATTGTGTTTAACAGTATTATGCCTTATTGCACACTTTCAGTATTTAAAGTATTTACTCTAATAATGGCTCTGACTTAGCACATCCTTCAGTTGAAGTACCTTGATTAATTGCAATCAAAAGATATTTTTATTGAAGACCTGATTCTAACAAGGCACTTAGCGTTCCTGCAAAAGTGCCTTTAATACTTTGCCTCTAGAATGCAGGTTTTCTTCCTACATTCCTAACAGGTTGTTGGAATCAACATAGAATGAAGGGGCAGGGCTTGGAGGATGATAGTTGTTCCAACTTTGGTACGTGAAAAAGTCATACTGTTTGTTGTATTTCTTATTCCATAGAGCCTCTCTTTCCCCCCACCCCCCCCCCTTTGGATCACCTTTAAAGAAAGGGGTCAGAGGAGGAGATGGGGAAGTATCTGTAGCCCACTTCATGAGAGTCCTGCTTAGCAGGAATGAAGGGAACCCCAGTGAAATAACTAGGAATCTTCCCAAGAGTAATTTAACTGAGTGTTCCAACTTTTTAGAGAGAAACTACACAAAAGGGGAAGCAAAGGGCAAGCGTTCCCTTTTAGACTGTTTTTTCGGTCCACCTTCAATCACTTCCACGTTTCACATAAATAATTCTTTGGGGTGCAGAAAATCCATCATCTAAATAACTGGTCTCATGCTGGACATCAAAGTGCATCAAACTGTTTGGCATGTTCCAATACCCATGCTTACACTTTGGATGCAAATACAGAGGTTGGCTTTTAAAACTGTAGCCAGGTGAAGGCAATTAAATCTTTATCAAAATAGATTCAAGTTATATTTGCAGCTGATAAGTATTGACTGTTGGAATCTTAATATAAAGTCTTCACAATTACAATTCTTTTCAATGGGTTGGATCTTTCAGAAGACATTTTAAGAAAAGTCTGGGCCCCATGTAGGCAGCTAGTAAAATAAGCTGTCCCGATATAAGCATGTCCTTTACCTCATTAAAGTAGAGGCTTAGAGAAAGAACATTGGGATTCAACTTTTGGGCGGCAATAAAAGCCATTAGGCAGCTATCAAAAGAAAGCCAAAGATTGTATGCTTGATAGGAATATGGGCACTGTTGTCTTACTTGGGATTTTTCATACTATCTTGTAACTTTAATATTTCCTAAAACATTTATATATAGTGACTGAAAGAACCTATAGCAGAGTTTTGTTTAAATTTCCCCTTGCTTCGGCTACATATTATGATGCCTATTTAAAAAATATTCCCTAGATTCAGAAGTATTACCATGGAAATATTTCCATCCATTAGTATTATTGTACAAATGTTATTTTAAGTAGAATTGCTCATTTTTTTCATGTTTGAAATATTATCAATACACCTTGTGATTGATCAAGAGTATTTTTCAGTTTCCCATCATCATGATGTTGTAACATTTATTTAAACTATGCAAAGCACTGTATTTATGTTACTTAAAGTGATATTTTGAGGTGTATTGATAATAGTTTTTTCACTGTCTAGGACAATATCTTTTTCTTGGATATTTTAATACAAATAATTTTATTAGTTTATGGTATTCTACAAGTGATGCTCAAAACACTGGTATACCACTAGTATAAGCAGTAATGACTGATACCATGACTGTAAAACTTTGTAAAAGATAGAGTTATTTACAGTTCATAAAAATGCAAATGTGTTACCAAGTAACCTGGCATTTACATTCTAATTTAGCAGATTAGAAATGGTTACTGAGCCACAATTCTAAATATGACAGTAGTTCAGGCCCAAATATAGCATGGTACATAAGCACATTATCTAAATTTAATGCAAGTGGAATTGTTTATCCGCTTTAAAGTTAGACAAGTTCTTACGTATCATGATCAGTTGAGGTCCTTAGTGAAACCATTATACCCTACAACAGTTTCTGGAGAGAAGTTCACATATTGCTCTGTCAATGGAACTTAGATTTGCTTATTTTAAACCTTTTTCATTTATGACTTTTATTTTGAAATGGTTTCCTTTTACAACAGGCAGTACTTAACAAGAAGCCATGTACAGATTCCTGGAAATGTTATTCCCAGGTTTTACTAGATAAGAATGCATTCTTTTCCTAAGAGTTGTAACAACTGTTACACATTAACTTCACGATTGAATGTGTCATTTGTTATAAGAAGATAAATACATTCTAATTTATTATTTTATGGTGCCCATGTGGTTGCAAGGTATTTCACAAAAGACTGTCGTGCTCTCTGCTCCAAAGCTTTTGCAGTCTTAGGTTCTTCTCCTGAATTGTGCTTTTGACTTTAGAAGGACCCTAATGAAATAAATGCAGGAGTCCATAAACATGGAACAGGTTACAGGACAGAAGCCATAGTTTAGATGGAAGGTAACAACAGGGTAAACAGTAAAGAGGATTATACAAGGAACAGATGAAGACAACAATGATTGCATTTTAGGGCGTGTTCAGTTTTTGCTTTTGGTTGATGTTTTCTTGAATAAAAACAGAATATGAAATAAGTGAAAGTAATCAACACGCTTTAGACATGGCAGAATAAATCTTAATATTTTGTACTTACACAGCGTGTTTCATTCATAAATCTTACTATTTTCCAAAAATAGATATGCGTTATCCATACCTGACTAAAATTAAATTTCCCTGAAACATGCAAAGTTCTAATATTTTCACACTATATTCTAATGGCAGACTGATACTTTTTTACATCAGCTTCAATTTATAGAAGCATGATATAAAGAGTGACAGTACTTTTGGTCAAAGGTGAAAAAATTGTAGTCAAATTTAGTACCTAGATTAATTAGAACATCTACCGGGGAACATTATAACCATTATACAATGAATATTGATAACTTTTGGATACCTGGAAGACTCAAAACACTAGCTGCACTTAGCATTCGTACTGAATGTCTTATTGAGACACTAAATGCAATGTTCGTTTGAACAATTTATTTCTAACAACTGCAATACTGTTAAATTGCATCTGAATTTGATTAAAAATTATATATATTTAATTGAAAGTCAGCAAAAATAATCCTTATTCAAATAAGGATTAATATCTATGGTGCTGTTGCTAATTATTTGTATACTGTTAGTACATTTGGTTGCCTTCACTAAAGTTTACACCGTTTAAAAAATATGAATGACCTAAGTACGCTGTGTTGCGCATTTATTTGTGGTTTGACTTTAACTAATTTACTTTTTGTATTCTCTACTTTTGTTTAAAGACTTTTTGTGCTCACATATTTATTTAACTACTACAGATGCATTTGAGGTTCTAGAGATGTTCAAAGTACAGGCTACGTGCCTCTGTAAAATACACTGCTATGTACTTCTAATATAGCTTCTTGAAAAAAATATCCTCTGCATTTGTTAAGGTGGCCGTTTGAATATGTTAAAACAAAATACGAAGTTTCTAATGCTTAAGTTTTGAAATGAAACAAATAAATTTTTAAAATCCAGACTCTGCGTTACAAGTTTTATACACAAGTGAATGTAAGTTTAAAGTACATGTTCATTTATTGATAGCAGTGCTGGTGTTTTATTGATAGCATGAGAATCATTCCACTTCTGTGTGTCATAGATTATGACTGGTAGACTTTGCCCAGTAGCGATAACTATGTACAATAGGGGATGAAGAGTCCCTAGTAATAGTTGACAAATTCTTGAGCAGTAGCTGTACGGACTAATCATCTGTGAGAAAAAGTAAGAATAACTTGAAAATATGCTTCTAAGAATTTTAACCGGAATATGCGGTTTATAAAGTAACAAATTCAAAATGGAATGTTTACAGACTGATTGATTGTGAAGTTTGTTTGTTTTTTTTTAACTTAAAGGAACATTTAAGATATTTCTGTTTTCTGTTTCCCCTCATGCTTCTTAATTATTAATAATTATGTGTATTTATTTCTAGATATTATGGCAAATTCTTACCTGAGTGTCATGGCTCTGGTCCTTTTACTTAATTATACTGGATCTTCAGGGTTCAAGTCACAGGAGACAGGTTTTGGTATTCCTTACAATTCCAAATGCCGGTGGGATGGAACGTTCCTGATGAATTGTTCTTTTACGGGGAAGTCTACTACCCCCACGGATATATCACCAACAGTAACAGTACTTGATTTAAGTTATAACACCATCAGTGTCCTACTGTGGTCCAACTGGAGAAATGAAGAATGGAATATCAAACACCTGAATCTAAGTAATAACCTGATTTCTGAATTCCATTTAGATTCCTTCAGAAATCTACCGTTTTTGGAAACTCTAAACCTCAATGGTAATGTTATCCACTATGTTGTTCTGGATATATGTAAATCTGAAGACTGGTCTGAAAAACACAGAAAAGTGTATACTTATGGTCTCCTTCCTTTTTTAAAAGTATTGGCAATTGAGAGAAATAATCTTAGTGCAATTCCAAGGGGTAAGTATCAGCTGAGAGATTTTAAATATACATTTACAGATTTCATTAGTTGAACGTGTTATTTAGTTATCTCGGGTATATTAGACATGAAAAAAATCACCTAATATAAGCCGAAAGGCAGCAGAACAAAATTATTTTTACAGGCTTTTCTATGGTTCTCATCACTGTAGTAGCCAAATGCCTCAAAAAACATCAATGAATTTAGCCTCCATATCTCTTGGATGTACTCATGCCAATATCTGCATCCACAGATCTGGGGAGTCCAAATCCCTACCCTAGCCAAAAGAAAATTAGTGAGAAAGGATAGGGACTTTATAATTCCATCCTTGAGGGAAGTGAAAACTTGCATACAAAACTGGCTCAGATTTCAGAGTTTCAGAAAATCAAATTGTCCAGTTCTATTTTTTAAACATAGATGTCACCCAATTCTAAATGTATCTGAATATAATTCAATTTAAAACTCGAACCAAAACTGACAGCTGCTGGTAAGAAGGAAGTTTATGCATAGATTATGGTCCCGAGGAAACTGCAATGGTGTATCAACAGACAATCCAAGCTCTAAACACACAAATTAAATTATGCAGTGAACAAGTTAGAAAAATATTGGCATTTATGATGGTGCCTGAGCCCTGAATGCCTTTTGGAAAAAAGTTCTGGTCATGCTAACAGTTTCACACACTTTAGTGTCTGTAAATGGAACTCAAAAGTTTTATGGTAGGGTCCTGAATAATCCTAAAATCAAATAAGTCTTAAGTAGAACAGGGGTGTCAAAGATCCAGCCAGCCTGCTGGGCTACCAGCAGACTACCAAAAGTTGGGGGAAGGGCCAGGGGGGTTGGGTCTGCTCCAGAATTCAGGGCCCCCAGACCATGATGGATATGGGTATCAGCAACAGTGGGGTGCACCAGGACTGCAGATACAGCCCTCACTTACCCTGTGCCAACCTGATCCCCACTACTGCCCCCAGATCCCTTACCACTGACCCTATGAATCCAGCCTGGAAGGAGCCCAAAGTCAGGATCTGGTTTTATTCAGTTTGACACCCTGAAATAGAGTATTAACTTTCACCCTACAATTTTGCCCTTTTGTCCTCAAATAATTCCATAACGTGGCAAATTGGTATACCTTATCTTGAAATCTGAGGCGCTTCTGTAGAAGCTATTGACACAGCTTGTGCTAGAATATGCAATGCTGAGTATCTTAGTGATTGTTTAGCTAGATAAATGTAATCATGTGGTTGATAAGCTGCCATATATGGTGAGGAATCAGTATGTCTTGCAGAAGAACACTGGTCTGATGTTTATAATCAAATGAACGTTATAGGAATTCAGTATATACCAAAACTGTTATGCTTGAAGGTAGTGTTTAAATTCAGTACATTCCCAAAGCATGCATGGGACAATGATAGACTTCAATAGCTGCTGTGCATATGTGCTTGACAACAGAATTTGGCCAAAGAGGTGGTTTAGCCAGAAGGTGCCCTTGAAGCATTTTATTACCAAAAGTCCTTTTTAGGAATGGGTCCCTATAAAATAGCCTCCATACAAAACCACTAGGATGAGAGCTGCATAGCTGTATTTTACTAATTTTATTTGCTGACATGGTCAACAAAAACCCCATTCAAAGCAGGTAGATGAAAAATAATTATTAGTTTCAAAAGTTGCAAATAGCTACAAATGGGAAGTATGTATAAGGAGATGTTTTTTGACAGCATGGAAGATTATTCCTGTTTTTATGAACTCATAAATAGAAAGGAGAATTTCAGATCATACGCAATTGCTAAAAGAGTAAACTAACTGGTATTGATATTATGTAGCCTTTAAAAACAGGACAATGTGGAAAAGAAAGCATGTTCAAGGATTGCATCAACCATTTGCAACAAAATTTTTCACTTAAGGGAACTGGTGAAGCACTGAGAAAACAGTTGTATTTTGTCAAGCAAGAACATTAGATTCACAACAACTTCCATTGTATTTTCAGGACTAGGAATGCTGCAGTCTTTACGAAGTGTCCATCTGTCATCTAATGAAATATTACAGATTGAACAGAATGATTTTCACAACTGTTCGCAGCTAAAGAATATCTACTTACAAAATAACAAGATAACCAAAATTCATCCTGATGCCTTCAAGAATCTCAAAAAATTGCAGGTTGTAAAAGCAGCATTATAATTTGTCCAGTAATAATGGTTTGCATTACTACTTGTTAATGATATATTAAGTATAGATTATTTAGCAGTAAGACATTAATCCATGATCATCAGTATATGATTTTTGAATATCTGAACAAAATCTCTTATCCCCATCCTATGACAACTATTTTAAACCATAACTAGTTCATGAAATTATAAAATATGCAAATATTTGTACATTTTTAAGTGTGCCAGTTTTTAAAAGTAGACCTTTTATCTTCTTATGAAATTACACTACTCTTTATGTATTCATAGAATCATAGAAAAGTAGGTCTGGAAGAGACCGCAGGAGGTCATCTGATTGCCTGCTCACTCTGACTACCCCTCCCTAAGCCACCCCATCCCATCCCACCCAAAGCTCCTTAAACCTTATGTGTATACACACCAACTTCAAAGTAGTAGACTAATGATAACATAATAATTTAAGGAAAAGCATGTTACACACAACTTTTATTTCAACTGAAAATAAGAACAAAGTCCTCTTCACACAGCAGCAGAAAGGGATCTTGGAGTCATTGTTGACACCAAGGTGAATATGAGTCATCAATGTGATGAAGCAATCAGTAAAGCTAACCACATTTTATCATGTATTAGCAGGTGCATGACAAACAGGGCCAGGGAGGTGATACTTCCCCTCTATGTGACATTGGTCAGGCCTCAGTTGGAGTACTGCATCCAGTTTTGGGCATGACACTTCAAAAGGGATATGGACAACTTTGAGAGGGTTCAGAGGAGCGCCACTTGTATGGTTAGGGGCCTGCAGGCAAAGCCCTATGAGGAGAGATTTAAGGGCCCTGTATCTCTTCAGCCTCTGCAAGAGAAGGCTGAGAGGTGATCTTGTGGCTGCCTACAAATTCATTGGGCGGGGCAGCAAGGAATAGGAGATGCTCTGTTTACTAGGGCACCACTTGGAATAACTAGGGACAATGGCCACAAACTGGCAGAGAGCAGATTTAGGTTAGACATCAGGAAGAACTTCTTTACAGTAATGGTTGCCAGAATCTGGAATGAGTTTCCAAGGGAGGTGGTGCTCTCCCCTACCTTGGAGGTCTTTAAGAGGAGGCTAGACATGCACCGGGCTGGGGTTGTCTGACCCCAGCACTTTTTCCTGCCCAGGGCAGAGGGTTGGACTTCATGATCTGCTGAGGTCCCTTCCGACCCAAACATCTATTAATCTAATGGGATTTCTTGAACTTTAGACCAAATTTGGCAGAATGCTCTACTTCGAGCAACTGGAGTCCACCAGGAGTCATATGAACAAGATCTCCCAATTCTGGTTCCCTGAAAAATCTGTCATGTGGATTCTTCACAGGATCTGGCTTAGGTTACCATGAGTCATGAAATGTGTGGTTTCTTTCTTAGTAAAGCCCTCTACAAGTAGAGAAGCTGGTGCAGACTCGTTATAAAAGTACAAGCAATATGCATGGGCTTACTATGAACCAAAACACAGGTTAACATGGCTTTTACAACATACTATGTATGGGTGCACTTACCTTAGTGGCCAGACCATGTAGTTCCAGAATGCAGTGAACATAACTCAAGTTATTTTTCCCAGTCACTATTGTTCATTAACAGAAAAAGGGATCAATAGACAAAATATGTCTATGACAGATCTGAGTTTTCATTAGTTTTACCAAGAATTCAGAAAGACACACAATAGACTAAAATGTTTTAACACCATGGATTCCTATTTAAAATCTCTAGGTTTATCCTTGTCAAAATTGTGTGGCACCCCACAGCACCCTTGAAAGGATCCCAAGGCTCCCCAGGATCCACAGCACACTGGTTGAGAATCACTGGTCTGTGTTATGGACTGCTGATTGGAAGGGTCAGTTAGCCTCCATGAAGCTC